CCTCCCTCCTCCCCCCCCCCCCCAGCCTTCGGCACGCCACGAAACAGCTGTTCGCGCCTGGTGGGAGGTGCAGGGAGGGAGGAGGAGGCACTGAACTGCGGGGCCCACCAGCAGGTGGGAGGCGATGGGGGGTGGGGGAGAGCTGATAAGGGGGCTGCTGGTGGGTGCTCAGCATCCACCATTTTTCCCTGTGGGTGCTCCAGCCCCAGAGCACCCACAGAGTCGGTGCCTATGAACCAGAGGAATAGTAAGCCCCAGTCTACAGAGTTAGGTCAACATAAGGCAGCTTACACTGACCTAACTCTGTAAGCATCTGCACTAAAATGCAGCTCCCACCAATGCAACTCACACACTACACCGACTTAACTTCACCTCCACAAGAGGCATAGCTCTTAAGTCAATGTAATTAGGCTGATGCAGTGTCAGTGTAGACATTGAGTTGCTTACATTGATTGCTGCAGCTTTTCAGAAGCTATCCCACAGTGCCCCACTCTGGCAGTTAAATCGGTTCAAGCGCTCCTGGTGAAGACACACCACTGGACAAGGAGCATAGTGTGAACATGCAAAAGCAGTTTAATTACTGTGGTGGCTGTACATCTACTTAACTTAGATTGACTTAATTTCGTAGTGTAGACTTGCCCTGAGAGAGAGAGAGAGAGTGTGTGTGATGGGGGAAGGTGGAATATGGTTCTAAGTTACAATGGTATTTTTTTTCCCTTTTGGCTCAATCTAGTTACAAATACTTTTTTCTGACTTCCTCATGTTGCACCTACCTACCCTCAGACCTCTGTACATCATGATAACTAAGGGCCTGATCAGTAAGTGCCGAAGCCAATTGAAAGATTTCCACTGACTTCAATGAGTGTTGAATCAGATCCAAAGTGCCCAATCACTTGTGTTGGAGAGAATATATCCAGTACCGATATAATGAATACACAGTATACATTCTGCTGCTTATAAAACACACAAAATACACCTATAATTTCAGCCTTTGGTCTTCTTTACTCAACTAGGCTCTAAATACAGTACACTCTACAAAAAATAGTTTTCAACCATGAATTATGGCTAGAAATTAAAACCAAAATTTATTTTTTTAAAAAGGACTGTGTTTCAAACTGGCCTAGAATAACTTGAAAACTTTAAATTCTTGTTGAGATTAGCAGGTGTGTAATAAACTATGATTGCAATCCATGGAAGCACATTTAGTCTTGGTTACGGATTGCTATTTCTGTTCATTTTAAACTCAGTTTTATAGCTATTTTTAATCTATACAAAATTGTTTTTCTACTAGAAATCACTATGAAGATCATCTCACTTTTGACAGGCACAATAAACAATATCTGCTAGATAACTGCAAAAGTAGTTTTTTATATAAGTATAATCAAAAGCAAAGGGAAGACCAGCTTAATTTTTTTGTCTTATACATTTGAATGTGGACAACAAGTATTTGGAAAGCTATAGAGTTATTATTGTTATGAGATAGTTACAGTGGAGCAAAAGGGAACAAACAGAGAAGCAGCATATCAGAACATTTTAATGGAGAGCTTTACACTGGAGACAGGGGTGTCATAAACATACAGCTAAGGGTAGCATAAAATCCCTCCTTTACCTGTAAAAGGTTAAGAAGCTCATATAACCTGGTTGGCACCTAACCAAAAGGACCAATGAGGGGAGAAGATACTTTCAAATCTGTGGGGGAAGGTTTTTGTTTTGTCTCTCTTTGTGTTGTTCTCTCCAGGTCAGCGAGGAATCAGGGCAGGGAAAATACATCTCCCAAAGCCATATCTAAACTAAGCATCTAAGACTACAAATTGTAAGTAATAGGGAAAAAATGTGTTAGATTATCTTTTGATGTAGCTTGTAAATTTTCCCTATGCTAAGAGGGAGGTTTATTCCTGTTTTTTTGTAACTTTAAAGTTTTGCTTAGAGGGGAATCCTCTGTGTTATAAATCTTATTACCCTGTAAAATTATCTTCCATCCTGATTTTACAGAGGTGCTTCTTTTACTTTTTTCTTTATAATAAAGTTCTGCTTTTAAGAACCTGATTGGTTTTTAGTGTCCTAAAAACCCAAGGGCAGGTCTGTGCCCACTTTGTTAACCTATTTGGTTGGTATATTATTCTCAAGCCTCCCCAGAAAAGGGGATGAAGGAGCTTGGGGGGGTTGAGGGGGGGGGGGAACAGGAACCCCAAGGGGTTATTTTCCTTAAATCTTTGTTTAACCATATTTAACAATCTTTGGTGGTGGCAGCAGTACTCATCCAAGGACAAGGAAGGATTTGTGCCTTGGGGAAGTTTTAACCTAAGCTGGTATAAGTAATCTTAGGGGGTCTTTCATGTGGGTCCCCACATCTGTACCCCAGAGTTCAGAGTGGGGAGGGAACCCTAAC